ACTCTGAGGTAGGACTTCGTGTGCAGCACTTTGAGCCTATTGCAATAGTGGGCAAAAGGGGTATATGTCAAAACATCTATATGTCGCATGCATTTTACTGAGGTATCTCTTGTACATCACAGAATCGTCCAGATAGTTTCATTCTGTATGCGTTCATCGGCTGACTATTTGATATGGTGAGCATGCCAATTCCACAATATGTTGCCGAAATAAACAACTGCTGAAACTTGGATAGCATTCTTTGTTCGATACCTGAAGCTGCTAAAACCGTGAGTGCATTGAGTCCTTTTGGCACTCACTTTGCTGCAAACAACCTCCACATGGTCCTTAAAGGACATGCTTTTATCGAAATGTATACACTAGTACTTAAGTTTGCTCTTCTTCTTTCGTTCGTTTGAAATATATTATCTATGTATGCAGTGTTGTCTCTAGTATGAACGTCACTCTCTGTTGTAATTCAATCAGCGACCAGTAAAGTTTGGCTTGCACAGGTGTTTCTCGTGGCCAAAATTGTGTTCTCTTTTAATGGTACTTTCATTAACTGTGATGCTTGGGACATAAGCCCTGACAATACTATTGTCCACAGAATACACATTCGCCTCTTCTGGGTTAATGACAGCAACATTTTCTACCCACCAGCCAGCCACCTTGTCCACTGTTGCCTGTAGCTTGTGGCCAGACTATTGCCAATCACGGCCCTGCCTATCTACGTAAAAATATCATCTGCAAATGCTAGTATACTACCAACACCTGGAACTTCTAGTTCTGCTGTCTTGCTTGCGTATATTCGTATATTGCAGAGCATTGGTGAAATTGCTGAACATTATGGTAGTCCCCGGGCGATATTTCCTGGCTCTGGGGTCAATGTGCTTGGACGGAGAGCAATAGTTCGTGAATGCAAAACAGCCGTTATCTAGTTCACCAGCCAGGGATAGACCCTTTTTACCATTGCAGCAGACATCAAACTATCATATTTGAAAGAGGTGTCGAAATATATATATATATATATATATATATATATATATATATATATATATATATATATATATATATATATATATATATATATATATATATATATATATATATATATATATATATATATATCACTATCATCCTGTAGCAGGTCCTTTGCAGAACGTTGCTCTCATCAGGATCTGAATGAAAGAGACTCGGTCTCTCGCCAGCTCTCGCGCCTCACGTACTTTCAGGGCCTATTTTCGTGTTGGTAGGCCCCTGCCCCTCCTTCCTGGTACCATGCCCTCTGCTATAATTTTGTCCAATCCGTCGTGGCGCTTGATTTGACCAAAATATTTTAGCTTCCGAGACATGATGCTGTTTATTAGCCAATCTTCCTTGATGTTCAGATCTTTCAAGATGTCAGTATTTCTCCTCTTCTTTGTCCAAGATATTCTAAGAATCTTTCTATAGCATTTCAGCTCCAAAGCCCCTATTCTCGTTCTTGAGGACTGTAAAATAGTCCACGACTCACATCCGTATGGTGCTACAGGGAAGATGCATGTTCTCAAAATTCTAAATTTGATCTCCTTACTGGTGCTTAGCAATAGACTTTTTTATGCTGTGTAATCTTTGCATTGCTATGGCCATCCTCCTTTTAATTTTTGCCAAACAGTCTCCATTGCATTGCCTAGACATTAAAAGTTTGTGACATTTTCAATTTCTTCACCACTTATTGTTTTTTTTTTTTGGTTTGACAGCCAGTTTTATCTGTGGACATTGTTTTCGTTTTTTTTTCTATACAATTATACAAGTGATCGGAATCGAATATCTGAAAACTTACAAGCGACAGTAGATAAGGTAATCGACTGGTGTACAGTAATGAGTGCTGTAATCAACCCAGAAGAGGCAACCGTCCTGTGTATTCTTTGAACAACAGGATTGATAGCGCTAATGTCCCCAGACTAAAAAAAAAAAAAAAAGGCAAGGACATCAAAAGAGACAGCAGACTGCGGTACCTGGGACTAACCTTTGACATAAGTTTTTCTTTTAATGATCACATAGAGGGAGCTGTGACAAGGGCTCAAATAATTCTCAGTGCACTAAAGAGTATGGCAGCGATGGACATGGAGCAGAGAATGCTGTTCACACTTTAAAAGTATTTAGTCATCTCAGTGATTGATTATGATGTGGGGTTTCTCACTGTCTCGAAGAGTCAGCTACAGAAACTAAAGCGCACACAGAATGAAGCTATGAGGGTGACCTTGAGATGTGCAAGAGACACACCAATTGTGTGCATGCGATACATCCTTACATTGCCGACTCTTGTAAATAGGCTAAAGGTGCTGCAGGCTAGGTCATACCTCAGAGCAGCTGCAGACAAAGAACACGTATGTATGCTCTGTATGAAGCTTTGGCTGCAGGTAAGGATCAGAGACTGAAAAGGTGAATATCGTGGATGGCTCAAACAGAAGACACAATAAGACAAGTATGCATGCTGGAGAACATTGGGAGAGGAGGGGAGTGGGTCAGAGTACCAGAGGAAAAGTCTGACTTGTGTAGGTTTGTGATCACATTGGGCCGGGAGTGCAGAGAGTGGCCAGCGGGTGTTACGGAGGTTGAAGTCCAACAGTCGATTCACCACAATTCACGCCCAGGTGATCTGATTATCTATACAGATGGTTCGGTACTGAGAAAAAAGAGAAGTGCCTGGGGGTTCGTAGCGAAAGCCAATGGAAAATCTTTAGTGCAAAACAGCCAAGCATGTGACACCGCAACATCTAGCATGATGAGAATGGAGGTGGAAGCTGTAACTGCAGCTCCCCGGTGGCTAGGAAACAAGATGCATACACATGTCGTAGTTGTAACAGACTCTGAAAGCATACTGAAAAAAGTGAAGACAGGGATGCTTCGAGCAGAGTGGCAAGCTACATTGGGAAGGTCACGGCTAGTGAGCATACTTTGAATCTTTTCTCTGGGCCATGATGGTTTGGTGGGTAATGAACAGACAGACAGAATGGCTGGATCTGCTCCACTGGGTAGTGGACTCATACATGACAAGGCAGATGTGGTCAAGGCCCTTTGGGAAAAAGCAACGTAGTCAGTAGAGAAAGAAGATTATTATGACCTGGAGAGAATGAGGCACCTGGGTGTAACCAGAGGGTCTGGCCAGAGTACTACACTCAGAGGAAAGGCAAGACGGACATATAACCAGACTGGGACCGGTACAGTCAGAACTGGAACTCTGCGCTGGCTGCTGAAGATGAGGACGGAGCATGCATGGGGACTCAGGTGGGCCCACCCTCTGAAATTGTCTAGGAGCTTGTGGGCCGAAACAATTGTGGACGAGGGATCAATTCTACTGATGATTGGTAGACTCCTGCTGTACATGCTCGCCGTGGAGTTTCTTCTTATTGCGTATTCGACAAATTTCCGCTTTTTAGTCGGTAGCCTTTTGTCTCCATCCAGGTTTCATTCAGAAGATTTTTTTTCATGTTTGCGGCTACTCTGAGGTTTAGCCTGACTTGCAGCACGTTGAGCATGTCTCTGATAGTCGGCAGTGAAAGTATGTCCCATGCACGCTACTCGGATATCTCTTATGTATCTCTTTTTTTTTTTTTTTGCTGCGTACCCCATGACAGTCAGGTCACCCCATACTTGCTCCGTTTCTGCGCCAGTGAAAATCAATTGAAATGTCCCTCACTGTCCCATTTGAAAAACTGGTGAACAAACAATTGTCCCGGCACAATCTAGATATATGCGCACGTAGTAAATGCACATAGCGTTTTCTTTTACTGCGTGCGCATATTTCTAGACTGTGGTTTGTGGGTGTGTCTATGTGTGCATGTGGATGTTTGTATGGGCCTGTGGTTATTATGTGTGTGTCTAATTATGTGTGTGTGTTAGTGTGTACTTAAGTGTGTCAACGGTAGACTACACACAAATGATGTGTGCCACTGAATGTTTGTGTTTGAGCTCTTCGGAAATGGGTATCAGATCCATTATTTCAGAAATCAATCCACATTCGATGGGGTACGTGGTGGACATCGGGGTGGCCTCTATTACTTCCTAGGACACTTTCACGTATTGACCTGGCAAACATTAACTGAAACATAATGATATCTTTACCTAGCTGAAATCCAAGACATCCGCAATGCGTTCCATGAGAACAAAGGCTAGACTGGTGTTTCGCATTTTTTCTTGTTCTTTTTAATGTCAAAGTTTCTGGCATGGTGTGGGCTCACTTACTGTAAAACTAGATCATAAAACAGAAATTGTATGTACCATAGTTTGTGTTTGTGTGTGTGTGTGTGTGTGTGTTAAATTCCCTTTGCTGAACTCTATCTGTTCCCCTTGTAGTGCAAGCGACAACAGAATATATTATTTGATTTCAGGATTTCTGTATTACTTAAAGAAATATTATTTGAAAAGATTTGTTTTTTAAAAAATGCACATCTTCAGACTACATAAAAGTAAAATATCCGAATGAAGCCACAACCAAGTAAAGAGTAGTGGGATGGCTATAGACAGTCAGCCTGGTACCAGTATGTAGTGTTTCGCTACATAAATTTTGTCAACAGAGAAGCATTGGCATAATGGTTAATTGTGGTTGTCTGTGGAGACTATAGTCCCTATTCAACCCACAGTTGTGGCATACTTGCTCCTGGCCAGTACGGCTGTGGAGTTAACCAGATATCGTAGACATAGGTACGACACGATTTCACAATTTCTGGAAAACGGAGGTAAGAAACTGGGTACTCTTCATAAGTTGGGATCTGGAATACGTGACGACCTTGCACGTTACATTCCAACAGCCGTATATCCTAAGACTCTAAATTTTTATTATTTTTGCTCTTATAACTATTATTACTATTATTACCATGCAATTGTTGTAGCGTCTCTATGTCTATGTTTCTCCATTTCCTCTTCTACTGAAGACTTGACTGCGTTTTCGTACTTTGTTGTTGTTTTTGTTGTAAATCTGACTTCTACACTTGATGTTGTTTTTTCCTAAAGTTAACTTGTCTATTTTAAATTCACAGGTACGTGGCCATTTGTCACGTGATGAGACAGCGAAACACCAAGCGGATGTCCAGGATTATTCTGTTCTTTATTTGGCTGTTAGCGTTACTGTTGATGATTCCATGGGCGGTATACTACCATCTTACAAAGTACGTCACCAAACATCAAGTAATTGATATTTGCATAATGACGTTCCCAGAACCGCAGGTCGTGAACGAACAAGCCTACTTTCTAGGTGTCATATTTCTCATGTGCTACGCTTTGCCGTTTACTTTTATTGTTTCTTGTTATTTCATGATTGGCTACCGCGTCTGGAACAGAGACGCTCCGGGAATCACCTCCAGTAGGGGTGTTATTGAGAAATCAAAAATTCGAGTCATAAAAATGTTGGTCGTCGTAGTGCTACTGTTTATGTTCTCGTGGATGCCTCTTTATGTCATTCACCTCAGAACACTGTTCGCCGCACATCCGATTGACCCTAAGGAGCAGAAATTAATTAATGACGTGGCTATACCTTTTGCTCAGTGGTTAGGGACGTCAAACAGCTGTATGAACCCTTTAGTCTACTGTCTGTTTAGCCAGAAGATACGAGGTAGAATCAAGGCGATGCTTTGCTGTCTTAAGCCTGAGATGAGAAGTGTTTACTCGTCTAGATCAGCGAACAACAGCGCACTGAACGCCACCACAAACACCAGAGAGTCCATCTTAAAAGTCGAGACTTGCAGAAATGGACATTCGAATTACGGACACTACTCAACGGGACGGAGTTTGTACCAGAACCGGTACTCTCGTCCAGAATCTCAGCTCATTCGAACTGACCGTTCAAGTAACTGCCAGTCCACACACGTGTAGATACAATTAAAGAAGGATAAAGTCATATAAAATAACACTCACAAATAGTTACATTAGGGAGTACTCTACTTGTCAATTGAGCTATTGTAGCATATAGGCTAACATGCATGTCTGGTCATCCGTTGGTCATGTATGTAAATCTTCACCAAGACCACATATTTATTTTGTTTTGACATGGACTGGCAGAAGAATTAAACATGCTGCCCTTGCTGAAATGTCTATAAAATTTGTGTCTACAGTATATCCTCAGTGTGCCTCAAGTTGTCGAAAAGGGTTTATTACTTGTATGTATTTACTAATTGTTTAACTAGAGAGAAGTCATGACCTGTCGATTTCAAACCAGCTACAACCACACCCGGGCTGAGTTCCCCTTGAAGCTAATACGGTGTTAGTTTAAAAAATGCTCATTTAGAGGGAATTGAATAAAAGACCATCGGTTTAGCACAGTAGTCAGTGGTTTACCAAAGATGCCACTTCTGTATTTGGGCGTAGAAATGACGAACCTAGGTTCTGAAACTTTATTGGGTGGGGGGTGGGGATAGGGGGATAAATTTAATAGAATTTCATCAAGAGACCCAAGCAGCAGTACATGTAAGCAGTGAAAGATGGGAATTCCTCAGAGAGAATTTTAAACATTGATGGCTGGGCAAAGAACTTTGTTGTTCAATGAACTCTTGATTCTGCAGCGGACAACAATGGCGCAGCAAGTTGCCGCCCCCTCCCTCCGCTCATCCCGCCTACCAGGAGAAACTGTTGTCGTTTCAAAGACATGTCCTAAATGTTCAGAAGAGACACACATACAGCATGTAGGCAGTTAAAAGTGCAGCTGACACTCCCACATTCTTCGATATGTCACTGAAATAACAGTGAACAAAGCTCGCGAAAAAAAAAAAAACATGGCAATAGTTGCTGTTCTGAAGGCGGTAGAAATTGCGTATGATAATTACTCCTCCCTGCTTTCCTTCCCAAAAATATAGACGAAAGGACAGAGATGTGAAATGATTGTTTGAAGGGAAAACATGCATACAAATAGTCCATAGCTCCAGTCAGAAGATGCCACATAACTAATAAACATTCCTGTCCATAATAATAATAAAAAAAATCACATTACTGAGAATGCAACTGCAGGTGTGTGTGTGTGTGTTTTTTTTTTTTTACTTGAAGAAGTCACTCTTGTAAATGACAGAAATACCATAACACTGACCATATTATTTCAAGAAATATCAGATCCATAGGACTGCCTGTTATGAGTATGTAACTCGCTGAAGTAAAGGATTTAACAAAAGATACATTATAGATCTGAGTGCGCCAGTGACCTTCAACCCCACCAGGACCTCAGAACCAGCGATTAACACCTGGTGACACAAAGTGCTAATATTCGAATGAGGATCACATGGGCAAAAGTCCCAGAAACCCCGCTCAACCGTTAGGTTAAATTAGGGCCCTCTACTACAGACGGGTGGGGCCTTAAAAATAACAAAAATGGCAACATATATTCGGATGGGATCCGTCGTATGACTATTCGGATGAGAATTCCCCGGAGAGCTACACAGAAGTAAACTACATTTAAAGAACAGAAAATGCGCATATTTGGTGGTTAGATATCATAAGATAAAATAATAGTATGGAAGATCACTTTTAATATTCCCTAAGATAAATTACACCAGTGGTTTTTAACTTTACTGACCTACTGAGCCCTTTTCATAATATATTTTTTATAACGGAGCCAATTAGACCTGCCAAATTCTATGTCTTACAAGTTAAAGTTGTTTAGAAATTATGTTAACAAGACACAAATGTGGTGGGGGAGGGGGGGTGCAACAGTCATTTTTGGTCATGTTATGAAAAGAGGACGTTTGTATCCACTGAAATGGTAGACGATACAAAAAAAGACAGCGTGAGAAAATACTTGACAACCTTTCGTCAGGGTTTTTGTCATCAGTACACAAAATGATAGATGCTGCTGAAGATCGCTGACTAAGTAGGGGCAGAATCGCTCCTGCTAGTCGGCAAGTCACTGTTTGTGATATATATATATATATATATATATATATATATATAAGAGGTGAGGAAAAGACTCTGGCGTTAGATAGGACACACACTGAGAAAACAAGAACAGCATAACTAGAATGTCTTTGCATTGGAACCCACAGGGGCATAGGAATAAAGAAAGGCCAAAAACCTCATGGAGAAGAAAGCTGGAGAATAAAGTTAGAAAGATGGGAAGGACATGGGGAGAGCTCCATGCAATGGCGAAGGATAGAACGACTTGGCGTGAGTTGATTGAGGGCCTATGCTCAATTGGGGGATTAAAAGACAGAATAAGAAGAAGAATATATATATATATATATATATATATATATATATATATATATATATATATATATATATATATATATATATATATATAGTGAGTATATAGCGCTTCGTTAAATACTGTGGTGCACATAAACACTTATACATATATTAGTTGTAGTCACGTTGAAAGTCGATGTAGTTGATTCCACTGTGATTTAACGGTGCAGAAGAAATCTAAGTCAAATCTGTTCAGCCATGTTTTATTCAAACTATTGTCATTAGGTTTAAAATATTCGTAACCCAAGTGATCTTTGTGTCTGCAAGCTTCCTTCATCTCCATTGCCCCAGACAGTTAATTATTTGAATCGCTTCCTGTCAAACATATGTATTTTGGTTAAACTATTCAGTTCTGCAGACACTTAGAATTTACGAAGCAGCTTGTTAATGTGCTTCTGTTAAGTAACTATTTGTGAAGAACAATGTGGTATGTTAGGGTTTTTCATTTTCCCGCTGTTTTCATTCCATTTTTTTGAAAAATCTTCCTTAACATAGTGCTAGTTAGAACCGAAGAAAGCATTGTTATCACGACCATTGTAGTCATCATTGTCATTACCGTTTTTCTCAACGTCATAGTTATTATATGTGAAATTTGTCGACCACATTGTTATCATTCTCACCTTCGTAAGATTTGTTTAACCTCAATTTTTCATAGACTAAATTACTATTATCCTAGAGATCATCATTAGCAATTCCACTGCTGTTGTAAAATCCATCTTTTTTAATATTGTCTGTATTCATCATCTTTATTATTGTCTGAATCATAATTGTCGTCAATATTATTGACAAGGTATGGGTAGCCATTACCTTTCCTTGTAGTCGTCATAATCAGTTTCATCGTGCAGTATTTATCAGTCAAACGCGCATCAATATTTCGTTATCATCGTCATTTTAGTTTGCACGTGTATTATTATTTCCCTTGAAATCAGTGTGACTATAGTACCGGTGATCACCATCACCGTCTTCCCAGCCATCATCACCGCAATTCTCCCAGCAATCATTATTACCCTTGTACCGGTGATCACCATCACCATCTTCCCAGCGATCATCACCACAGTCCTCCCAGCAATCATTATTACCATTGTACCAAGTAAAGACCAAGATGGCGGAGTAAACAGTGTTCGCTGATTTAGTTGACGTTAAATTGTGTTTTACTGTGTGTTTTTAACACCAATGTGTTAAATTAAAATAAGGTTGAGCAGAGATCGGTAAGGAATGTATTTGTTCAACTGATATTGCTCGAGAATCATGGAGGAAATTATAGACAACGAACTAGACTGTCAAAAACTGTTACTACCATCTGTTTTACCACTTCTTATAGCGGTGTAGACAGGGGGCCTTGAGGCTGTAGATTTAGGGCTGCCTGGCTAGTGCGGTCGCCGCGAACCGTGCAGGCTAGGATGTTTCGTGTTTTCCCCTGACAAAAAAAACTCCATCATCTAACGGGAGGTCGAACTTGGGTCTCCCGAATGAGAGCCTGACATCGACCAATAATAACAAATAGTTTTTTGTGGTTTTTTTTTTTTTGACATCGGTGAAGCCATATGAAAACTTGTTATACATGGAATACCACAGACCAGGCATCTTAGATCGAATTGTGTTTCAAACAAGGAAGACAGACAGAAGACAATTATTGTACTCAAGAGCACAACCAAACACAATCATTGATACTGATCATAAACCAGTGGTAGTAATAAATAAAAAAGACCACACACACACATACACACACAAAACAACGCAAAGTTTTAAAATAAAAATCATCATTGTAATACAGTTACAGAATAACACTGTCAAAAGTTTTTTTTTTTTTTTAAAGAAGTCGTCAAAAAGCTGCTTAATAAATAACCTTCCTGTCAAGTACAAAGACGTACAGAACACAAGGACAAGCTTCAAATCTGCCATACGCAACACTTAAAACGAAAAAGGAACCAAAAACACGTACGACAAGACAAACGATTAGGAACTGCATCGTCGAATAATGATTATATTACAAATAATTTTTTTTTCAAAAGAGGCAAAATGAATGATCAAAGATGAGTCGTAGAAAAAGTATGGATAACAGAAGGCCACACTTAGTAGAAGTTCCCCTGAGAATTTTACAAACAGAATTACAATATGGGAGCAACAGATTAATGGTACAACCCAACCACCATTATAAACAAAAGAGACAGCCCTGAACTGATTCCAAATCAAAGGCTAGCAGGATCGGCAGAATATTTTAAAGAACCACTCTACCCTGACCACCACATGGATAACAACAGTTTTTGAGTCCATAAGTGCCACTCTACCCTGACCACTACATGGATAACAACAGTTTTTGAGCCCATAAGTGCCACTCTACCCTGACCACCACATGGATAACAACAGTTTTTGAGCCCATAAGTGATACCAACATGAACTACATTTTTAACATACATTAGAAGATAAAGCTGTTATACAGAAGAGCTACTCAAACAAGACACCTGCTTTAGATGGTATAACTACAGAAGCTGTTTGAGCGTGCGGTCAAACTGGCATCAAATGGCTAACAAAAGTTTTCAATATAGCATGGGAAGAAAGGAAAGTCCCACTTGACTGGCAGCAGGCATTGATAACATCAGTTTGGAACAAGAAAGGTAGCAGAAGAGACTGTGCATGTACAGGGG